GCCTCCAGCTGGACTCCGCACCATTGACAACCACTCTCTGCACCCTGCCATCGAGCCAATTCCTAATCCAGCTCCCCGTCCACTTTCTGATTGCTTTTTCCTGTTTTTTTTTGTCTTCCTTAACACCCCCAAATCTTACTTGGTAAAGCAAAGTTGTTCAAAGACACAAAGAACTGCAGCACAACTATGGTACCTATTTAAAGATCTCTTTTGGGTTTCAGAAATGCTACCTATTTCCATATGCTTTATTATAACTATCAGTCTGTTCTCAACACGTACAAGTAACAAAAGTACCAGGTTTTATTTCATATTTCATTATTATTAAAAGAAAGAAGTCCTATTCACTGACAATATCTCTGCAGAAATTACTACAAGCTGGAGTAATTTGGCTGGAGATCTTTAAAATGGCTTAGGTCTTATATTGGAGAGTTTGGAATAGCAGACAAAGCAAGAAAATAAAATATTGACAAGTTAGTATGAAATAAGATGCTTGGTGTGTTAGACAGACTTGGAAAACAGGAAGGACAAAATCAAGCAGTATGATGGACAGCACATGAGATGTAAGTGGTTAATATAGTTTGGCTGCTATGGCAATCTAAAGTGAAAGAAATAATGATGACTATTTCTCTTACATCCTGGATCAATGTATTGGTGGGACTCACACTGATCAGCGAGCCTCAGAAACATAAAAACACTCAGAAAAAGTGTGGAGAAAGAAAAATAAAAGCCAGGTACTAGCAAGAACAGCTGTAAAGAAAAGGAAGACACATCAAAAAGTTTTGTTTTTTTCTGACTGGAAATGTCAGTATTTATGTATGTGGACACGGCAAAGACCCAAAGCAAGCACGAAATCAGCAGCGGGTTATGCAGGCAGCACCAGTTCCAGAGCTTTTCCAGTGACAGCTTTCCCTGATGAGGTCCACATCATAGCGAGCAACTACAACCTTCAAAGCAACGTCATGGAAGATCCAGTTAACAGTTACTTGGAAATCCAGCCCACTAAAGCATTTCAAACTTGCCAGATACAGGCAGAAACACAGGCAAGCACATATAAAGAAGAATGCCAGATTTTGCTTTTCAAGTTTACAAAAATTACAGGTCTCCACCTGCCTCTATGCTAAAGCTGCGCAGCTTCAGTTTTTCCAGAAGCCTCACAGAAGCCCTAAGGCCTCTGGCCTTGGTCAAATCAAACACATACAGCTTCAGCAAAGCAGCAGCTCAGAGAAAAACCACCTGCATGGTCAGCAGAGCAGAGCACAGGGTAAGAATTCCCTTCAGGCATCTAACCACAGAGTGCCAAAGAAGCCAGTTAAAGTCTTAATACTGCAGTTAGAAACAGTGATCTCAAAATCAATCTCAGGAAGTTCAAGAAAAGAATCAAATTTTAGGCCTTAGGAGCCACAGCAAAGAGAGGGCACTTCAAGGAATCTGGACAGCTTGGCTGTGTTAGCACCACACAGCTGATGTGAAACTTTAAGCTCATTTTCATCAGGGAATATTTCCCCTTTCTTCTACAAGAGGCATGAAGCTGATCTTGCTTTAATATGGTAACATTAATCCATGGTTCCTGATAATATATACTAATGTGTTATACTTGATCTCAGCAACTATTTGCTTATAAAGACAACTACTATTCTGAGCTTAAAACCTGTAGTATTAAATGCCAGTTTTAAAAACAGACATGGTTTGTAAAACTTAAAATCTTAATGCCTACCTTGTGCTTGATAAACATGACTCACGGATACTACATTTGCTGCAAAGGGTAAAAATATAAACATATAAAACCTTGGTACATTTAAAGTAAATATTTAAAATATTTTTAAAAGTTACATAAAAACATAATATAAATAAACAGTAGAAGTTACACAAACATAGGGAGAACCTCCAGCTAACACTTTCCCTGTTCTAAGTTTACTTTGCAAGTTAGAAAAGCTAAACTGATTTTCACAAAAGGTGCACACTTCCTGGAATTTAAACTTCAATTCCTTTTGAAGCTATATAAAAGACTGAAGAAAAAAATCCTTCATTTTACTGCAGTAAAATACACCGTGCCTTCTTGATACTATTTATGGAATGCATTAGTTGGAAAAACTGTGAAAAATCAACTACACTTCTCTGAAACAGGAAAATAAATTCTTCTTTTCGCTGAGTGTTTGGCTGTCACTTAAGAACCCACAGATCATATTTCACTGTGACCAGGAATACAGCACACAAGTGATATAGAGTACAGCTCAAGCAAAAAAAAATGAGTGGGAAAAGAAGGGGGAATAGAGGTGCTAGTATGTACGTTTCCCTTGGGACTTTTTCGATGCTAAGCAGGCTAGTGCAGTCAAATATCATTCAAGTAACATAACAATTATCCCTTGAATAACTGAATAATGAGCTGTCCTATCTCTTGTGCAATTGTCAAAATACTAAAATAAAAAAAAATCATGTAGTAGAAAGCACACTAATTTTTCAAAAATGAAAACATGAAGAAAAAACAGAAAAAGGGACCACACTATTACATTTTATTCTGCACAGATAAACAGCTGTGAACACACATTTGCTTGCTTACTTTTGATAGCTAGTTCATCCTTGAGAATTTTAGTGTATTCCTCAGCAGAAAGCTGAGGGGGAAGGCCACCAATAAATAAATTTACTCGAACAACGGATTTACTGTTTTCCACAACATAAAACCTTGTTTGATTCATCTGACGTATTGAAGTCTGTGAAAACAAAGAAAAATAAATCAGATGACTTGATGAAAACACAGTGATACTATGAAAAATAGTTGTAAACCTTCCAGATCAAGTTCGTTAAGTGTAAAGAAGAATCCCAAAATAGAAACAAACTTCTGTCCAAACACTGCATTTCTTTAGAGGTAACTAGGAAGTAGCTAAATATTTATTTTCCTTTAAAAAAGGGGGACTCCCTACTTGCTGTAAGAAAGGATCATACTTCAGACTTACCTTTCGTATGTCCTTAAGTCTATTAAGGATCAGTTCCTGACTGTCCAACACCATCCGCTGAACTAGAGGGAGCAAGAACGGGAATCAGGTTTGATAGCAACACAAGTTATTAACAGGCTTAATCAGACAACTGGCATCTGCTGAACTAGAGATAACAAGAATATTAGTAACATTTGAAAGCAGTAGCAGCAGTATCAGGCTCAATTAAACAACAAATTTACAAGATTTTATGGAAAATTCCCTCTTTGCCGACCTCTAACATGAAGAGCACATAGACCTGAACCACTCCTTGTTCACCATAAGAAGTATAAAGGTACCATGAAGAGTCTGATAGCTGATTTGTTCAATTTAAACATCATAGCCTTAGATAAACAGTGCAGTAACAGCTTGAAGCCACTGACAAAGACTAGTAGTACTTGGGTAGCAAACTACAACATTTAAGCACAGACTTCTGCAACAGTTAGGTGGCTACCCTGGCAACTGAAGTATTAATTGACTCAAGCATTTTAATAAACCACCGAAACATTTAACGATTTTTGGCTAAAAATGGAGCTTTAAAATGGAGGATCAGAAATAAATCAAGTTAAAATATTCGCTCACAAGGCGACAAGGACCTTATAAAACTTAGTGATAATGCTCGTAGAGAAAGCAAAGTTACAGCTGAATATCTGAGCTTTATGTATTCACAGAGTCACAGGATGGTTGAGGTTGGAAGGGACCCCTAGAGCTCATCCAGTCCAACCCCTGCTCCAGCAGGGACACCCGGAGCACGGGGCACAGGGCGGCATCCAGGCGGGCTGGGAAGATCTCCAGAGAAGGAGACTCCACAGCCTCCCTGGGCAGCCTGTGCCAGGGCTCGGGCACCCTCACAGGACAGAAGTTGAAACTTCTGTATTTGAATTTGTACCCAATACTCCTTGTTCTGTCACGGGCCACCACCAAGAAGAGCTTGGCTCCTTCCTCCCTACATTCTCCCCTCTGGTATCTGTACATGTTGATCAGATGCTCTCTCAGTCTTCTCTCCTCCAGGCTGACCAGGCCCAGCTCGCTTAGTCTCTGCTCACACGACAGATGCTGCAGTCTCTTCATCACTTGAGCATGGCCTGAACACCACCTGGCACCTTGCTCCTCTCTCCCTGCAGCCTTTCACGTGAAGGGACCAAGCACAGAGAGGTCCAGGCCTGGTGAATACCGGCTTCATCCCCACAGTATCACAGACTGCTCGAGCAAGAATGGGATTAGGGATTTCAGCACTTTATTAATGCACACATATATTCTTGGACTTGCCAAGAGAAGTCTGTTCCTTGGACCATCTTGCTTCCTTTTGCAGGCAGGGGAAAGCAGGAAGGGAGGACGGGAGCCAAACAGACTTCACAAATAACCTTTAATAAGAATCTCCAGGGGAGTAGCTTATGTTGGTCAAAGGCAGCTCCCCTAAACACATCTTGTTGCCAAAGTGTCAATACACTCCAGAAGTGGCTAACAAATCCTCATGTGAGGATGAAGGAAGGGAACCACATGCCCACAGAACACACAAGGCTTTAAAGAACCTATATCACTGTTTCAACGAGTTGAAGTTTTATTTATGAGGGAATTTCTTGTAAAAAATGAAATTCAACTGTACTAAAATTAAAATAAACACTCAGACATCACTTACAGATGTGCATGTGGGAGATGCTCCTTCACTTACCTTGCTTACTGCCCATAAGTACTTCTACTAACTTGAAATTCTGGATAGACTCCGTCTGCCAAAAGATGCAACACATAATTGAACCTTCTAAACAGAACATGATGTTGCCAGGTGTTTACATTAAATCAGCAGTTACATTATACATTGCACTCACAAAACATGGAAAATAAAACATTTCAGAAATTGAGCCAGTGTTCCTCCCCAAGTTTTTATTTCGTACTTCCATCCTCCTCTGTTTTAGCTGTCTAGGCATCCTCACAGCATGGCTCCCACAAAGAACAGATAACTCTACCCTGTTCTGTGACAAACAGCACAGTCAGGATCTATTTCCACAATGTTCTTCCTGAGGAAAGTTTACCTGTGGGACGGGAGTGAACCAGCTCTTGAAGATCAGCTAAGGAACAGGCCTTAAATCTCAACCAAAAGGCCAAAATCTCAACCATTTGCTATCCTTATTAAAATCCTGCACACTCAGATGGAGGAAGTCTCTGTAGAGTCCTCATGTGAAGGACTTGAGGCTCAGAGGATATAGTATCCTGCTTGATGTTTCTTATACAAAGCCCAGATTTTCTACATTTGCTTGGTCTGAAATGGATGAGTGTTATTTGGAGAGAATCCTGAGCACAGGGAGCTTTTGTATCTTTTAACAAGAGATACAAACATCTTTACTTCTTAAAAAAGATGTATCTGCATGCAGATAAAAGAGAAGACTCTTTAAAAAATATGAAAATCAGACACATTGCAAGTGGACCAAGCAACGAAGCCTCTCACAACCACAAACTAGCTTCTCAAACATACAGATTTCAAGACCTTTTTCATATACAGTATTTGTCTGTCCTGTCAGTTAATTGTGGGTTGTTTGGTTTGTCTGTTTTGTCTTTTTTCACACTAACTTGAAGAGGAACCTAGAATGAGGAGAAAATCAAAACACTGTGCCATACAACACATGGAAATGTGTCTTGGATAGACTCCACTCACCCCAAACCATGATCACCACAAACCTTTTCTGATGCACGTAACCTGGCAAATTTTTGAACTAACTCACCTTTAGAAGCAATCTGTTTTTTTTTTTCCAAGACTCTGCAAATCTAAAAATGGAATTCTGCCATTTCACCTTCTGTTCACCTTTCACAGGTGAACATACATGGACAGATTTCTTCATGATTATCTTTACTATGCTGTGAGTACAGCAGATCTGCACTTAACACACTGCACTGCTGCTAATGGTAAATGCTTTGAAGGAAAACAGGAGAATTTTAAACTGAGGTAGATGTTCAAAGCTTGTCACTGACAGATCATGGCTGCAAGACTGACTGAGAGCTTCCCTGCATTAATCAATACTTGCTGCAACTCACAAGCTCAAGATTTTCCAATTTTTGTCATCAGGTCTAAGACATTTTGAGGAAAAAGACTGTAACCACGTCACATATTAGAGAGCAAAACGAGCTCCATGCGCTACATATCTGAGTACCCTGAGGCAGAGATCTACCTGCTTCAAGTGGTGGCCACTACCTGTGTGCGTGTCCCAAACTGTGCGAGTAATGGCAAACGCAGGGAGACATTCCTTGTGGGAATGGCTCTTCCTGGAGCAGAGGATGTGTGCTGGCCTGTTGGTGTGCATACAAAACCAAATACCTGCAGGAGACACAGGCCCCAGTTTGAAGCTGCTGCAATTTTGGGGCTGATTCAGACTACCAGTGCCATGTTCCCTGAAACCATCGTATCTTGGCATCAACTGCAATACAGCTAGACTGAAAATGGATCATCTTCCAAGGGAAACATGCAGGTCTATGAGAATACACAATGTTATTCCAAGGAAATGGGAAGGAATGGAGACTAAAGCATGTGGATCCCTTCCAGCCTTGAGTCCGGACACCTGGGAATGTACACTGAAATGTCAGAAAACAAGCATGGTTGTTCTCACAGCAACTGCAAGAGGTTTCAGGTACATACAAGCATATTATAACCCTATCAAGATGCAGAAAACCAGAAAAAAAAAGTGGTGTATATCGAGCATCATTTTCATAAAAGGAGAGTTGCTTGCCCAGAAAGATTAAAGATAATGTACATGGCAAGAAGACTTATAATCAAGGTTTAGAAGCCTACCAATTGTGAAAGAAAATGAACCAATAATAATTTTTCCAAACAGAGAAAAAAACACATAAGTGACTCTGAATTCAGAGTCACTTAAGTAATGTACAGACATGCTTAGGATATTTTGTTTACCTGCCTTCCAAGCAATGGAAGCACTTCTTTGATCACAGTCTGTGTAGTGCTGTCCTTATTTACTCGTAGAGAAATATAAGCCATTCCCACCCTAGAGAGAAAAGAAACACCTCTTATAGCATTTCAGTGGCATCTTATCAGAGAAACATAAAGTAGCAGAACTACACAACTGGTACAATACAGTCTAGGCATGGAAAAAAGGGCTATATGTCTCTCCAGACATTTAACAGCAATTAAATTCATAGTATTTCTTAACTATTTAGAAAAGTACATCAGAAGAATCATAAATACAGAGGAATGCACTGCAGTCTGTTTCATTAGTGAGACTTCAGTGACCCAAGTCATCTTCTGAGCTTGGCTTCAGAGGACAAATTTAGGTAAGACATAGAGCTTTGTGATAAGGCAGGAAAAGTACTCACTTAAGCCAAGCAGGATAAATCCTGATCACTTCTTCATCCTTCGGTTTGGCTCTGATGATCCAGGCATCAGGGGTGGATTCTCGGAATATTGGACCTGTGTTGCTGTCATCCAAAGCGTGGTTCCTGTTGATAACATCATCAGATAACAGGGCCTGCTGGGTAAAGGTCTGGAGCTCATAATCCTGCTGATCATCATTTATGTAGTATGCCCGCAAGGCAGCTTCCTGGAATACAGCAAGACAAATTAACATGTTCTTGAAAAGAGACCAATAATATCTGCATAGCCATAGATATTTATAAACACCTTACATATCAACTTTCAAAAAGTATTAAGTGCAGAATGGTGGATAAATAGCAATGGAAACAAAACAAACAAACAAACAAACAAAAATGACATTTTAGTGGAGGAAGCAAAAAGAAAAATAATTGTTACAAGTGGTATAAACAGATTTGAATACACCCCACTGTAGTTGAGACGGTGACAGTTCTTTCTACTGCACAGGTTAAAAAAACCCAGCAGCAACAGAGGTAACACAACTGCATGGAGAGTCAGTCTTCGTGCACTACGGGAAACCTGAAACTCAAGGCTGAGTTTCCCAGCCCTGTGGCTGCCCCGACCTACACGGCTGTGAAGAGCAGAGGTGAGTGGCTCTTCCTGGAAGGTGGCAGCAGCCGGAGGAAATTTTTACCCCGCTTTGGCACAAGCCTGCAGCACTTCTGACAGTGCAGGCTCTGCAGGGACTAAAGCCCAGAAAATCATCTCTAAGAACTAGCATCACTTTGTGTCGATACTGTAAGCAGCGGTCTAATGAAATGTGCTTGAGAGCATGGAAATGGTCCTAAATAAAAGGGCTGTCAACCCTACAAGCAATTTTTCCTGAAGGCCTTCAACATATGGAAACACTAAAAGTAGTTTTCAAAACCCCTCTCAATTCTGAGCACACTATGGAGGTAAAAATACTGGTGAGCCATCAGCTTAAATGCCCCGAACTCGGAGGGAATGCATTGTCCCAGCGCCCACGCCAGTCCGCTCCGTGCCCGATTCTCCCGCCATCCCACCTCACCCTCAGCGGGCTCTGCACTGCAAGGGCTCCTTCCTCACCCAGGGGCTATGCCCAGCCTTGCACATCCAATTTAATCCTGGAACGAGTTTCCACCCATGACAGAGCACTGGAAAAGTCAAGGAGTGACCCCTGTGCAACTCACAATCCATTACTTCTTTCCCAGGCAGGGAATGCAGGTAGCTCCCATAGGCATCCGTCTTCAGATCCAATTAGCTGAGGTGCCAACAGATGCCTCTCTAATATTCTACCCCATTTTATACATTTTGCTACTTTAGTGTTACTTTTAAGAAATGGCTGCCCCTTGGCTAATCCAATATGCAGTAATTCACCCCATTTGCCACACTAGGAGATTAGACCTTCACCAGGTGTCTTACCACAACTTCTTCATTTTTGGCAATCCTTGGAACTGAAATCAGTCGAAATTGATTGCGTTTCACTGCATCATTCCCATCAAATATCTTTAATGTTTGTTTACCTGAATGAAAACAATTATTGTATTTCAATAACACACCCCTCAAATCATGAAGCTACCTCAACAGGAGATGAATAATGGAAGTACCAAAAATCTATCTTTAAGCCACTGAGACCTGTTTTTTCATCACAAAATTGGAGGCTGATTCTTTATTCATTAAAAACAGAGATACACTCTGCTTGGTTATCAGCAATCATTTCACATAATCAAGGTTTTATCCTAGGTTTTGATCCGAGACCATACAACCTTTCTGCTTTCATTTATTCTCTCATCATTCAAGAATACAATTTTACTGGACAACTCAGCAACATGAAAACTGAAACATTCCCCAAAGAACTGCCTGTTCTGACAGGATCTTAGTAAAGAAAGTCCTGAAGTAGCTGGTTAACTGTATATACAAGAGGAAATACAGAGACAATAGAAAAATATAAAATAGGAGGACAGAAACAAAAAAGAACAGGAGGGGGTATAGCAACTTAAGAGCTACAACCTTTTTCCATTTTTTTTTCTTCATTTTGTTAAAATGTTAAGTCCATGATCGAACCACTAAGTATAGTTTGTTGCATAGATGCCTCTGATAGGGCAAAAGTTAAAACTTTCAGATCGGCCTTTCTGCAGAGATCAGTTAACATTCGCATCTCAAACTCATTCCGTTTTGTGAACAATTTTACTTTTATTTAAATGTAAGAGCAAAGCTTAACCAAATTCTAACAGAAAGGACAGTTTTTAAGAGGTTTTAAATACAAATGAAACTATCACCTAAGAAGTGTGTCCTTATCCCCAAAGAAATATATTAAGTTAATCAAAACCAGGCATGAGTGTGCAACGGGAGAAAGGTTTTGCACCTTTCTGACCTCATCTCTGTGAAGAAAAACGATGCAAATTCAATTCTGCGAGTTCCTTCACGCACTCCCCAGAGAGCACACACCTCATAAGAGATCACAGCCTTGCCTATTTTCACACACAGAATTTGGCCTTTTTATTTTTAAGATGTTGTATTGAATTATTAACAAGTCCTTCTTTGTATGGTGCAATGTTAGAGTATGATCTCACGATAAATCTATATCCCTATATTCTGGATAAAATCTTAAAATCACTAAAAGATAATCAGTTATCTGAAATACTACAAGTCTTAGCTGAAAGCTGTAACACGCACACAAAGTATTAACCAGTCTGTTAATATGCATTATATACATATGTATATGTACATATACACATATGTATACATATACACACATGCATACATATATACATACATGTGTATGTATGTACATGTGCATACATACATATACACATATACATATGTGATGTATATATCACACAGTGGAGTCCATTGTCGTCTTCCACCTCCACCTTGGACATGCTTCACAGTACATCACAAAGCTCTCAGATAACACTAACACTAGCCTTTGGGTTCAAAGAATTGCATTAGCTAAACGTCATTTGTCACAGAAGAATCAAAAAGTGCAGCGGGCACTGAAAGAGCAAGATAAAAATTAGAGAGGAGTGCAGACAAAGATAAGGCTCCAAGGCAGAAACACCTAAATTACTGGGCACCTCTGCAGTGTAGCGATAGACTATTACAAACGACTGTAGTGAATGGGAATTTCAATGCTTTTCATGGGAATTTCAATGACTCTTTCCTGGCCTTGAGCCACATGAAACTCTCATACATGTCCAATACATCAACATTTGTTTCACTGCATATTCTGTCACCTAAATCAAAGCTATATGTAGAACTGAAGATTCATTTTATGTAATGTCTGAAAACAGTCTTTAAAACAAGGCTCTTGCCCTTGGAGAAAAGTCCTCCTACCTTCAGATTTGCAATAGCCACATTTTAGACTTTTCTTTCAACCAGGGTTTCTTCTTTTATTAGGGTCTTCCTTCATTAAGGATTCCACTGGGCCCAACAAAATATGGGTGTGAGAACAGTCTAAACACATAATATAATATAAAATTGCACTCCACTCTGTAGCTGCAGAGCTCATAACTCTCCTCCAGGTATGGCTTATATTCCAGATTCCTAATTGATGCTCAACACAGGGGTTGTTTTTTGGAAGAAAATTGTATTAATTGCCCCCATACCTATAACCACAGAGCAGCTTTGCTAAATGTAGGAGAGATGAATCCTTAAAATTATTTCTTTACATGGGATGTATGTTTATTTTCCAAAGAAAAATCAGGATGAACTCAGCATTCAGAAAACACTGCAAAGGAAATTGAATTGTGAGTACTCTGCAGCAGGTGATTGTGCCATTTCACAAAACTGTTTTGCTTCCTGTTCATTTTTAAGCAGTTTTATGATTTCACTTTCTTCTTAAAGAAACTTGATTTCTGTTCGAATGACTTTGAACAGAATGAGTCAAATGACTCTCAAAAACAGGCAAGTTGAAGCCTGTTTTGCCCACCTGCAATTAAGCTCAGCTACACAATCCCTTTCTACATCTGAATTAATTCCAACTTGAAAGAAATACTTTTTTTTTATGATGACATCAAAAGTCACAATGAGATGATAAAAAGGAAAGAAAATGCTGAAAATTCTTAAGACATTAGTGACAGGAATAACCTGAAATGTATCAAAGATGTAAAACAGGCATTTATAGGACTTGGATAAACTATGCATGAGAGTAAAACAGCACTTTTATCTTGAGACTTCGGCAGAAGGAGGCCCACCTCATGCATATTCACACAAATACAGAAATGTAGAATTACTGGACAAGTTCTCACATCTTTTCTGGGAAACTGGTATGATGGGGTCCTCCTCTGACATCCCTGTGCACTGGGGCTTGCATCAAAGGACACAAATAGTTCCTAACTGGAGGTCTGTGTGCAGCTGCAGGGATTCAGTCGCTGAAGGGTCATGGAATTATAGTGGGATAGTCCACTCAATGGGAGTTGCTCTCACGGATGGATACAGTGCTTCGATGGATACAGGCAAGCTCCATCCCAAGCAAAGCACAGGGAAACAAGCAAACACAGAGTTCCTGGCTAAACAGAGAAAGGAGGCGGGAGGAATACAATAGGTGGAGGCAGGGAGGGATAACCCCAGAGGAATATAGAGACACATCTGAGTGAGCAGGAATTGGGTCTGTAAAAGGAAAAGCCACCTGGAGTTGATGGCAAGGACATCAAGGGCACTGCCACCGCAAGGCCACCCTCGAGAAGCTCTGAGTGGTCTTAGGGATCAGGGGAGATTCCCAAGGACTGGAAGGAACCAAATGTCACCACTAGCTTCAAGAAGGAAGGTCCACAAAAGTACTGCCCGGTCACCTCCACCTTGACTGCAGGGAAGGTGGTAGGAGCAAATCCTCTTGGACACCACTTACACAGACACTAATGCAAGCAGGAGTAGGTAGCATGGATCTATGGAGGTGAAATTTTACCCAAACAACCTGCTTTCTGCAGTGAGATGAGTGGCTTGGTGGACGAAGTGAGAGCAGTGGATGCTGCTGACTTGAGTAAGGCTTTTGATACTCACAGACAAACTGATGGAAGCACAGGCTACAAAGACAGGTTGGCACACTGAGAGGTGACTGAAGTGCTAGGCTCAGAAAGGCAACTCCAACAAAAAGTCCGTCTGGAGACCAGCCAACAGTGGCAATGTTAGGGGTCAATATTGGAGACAATACTGCTTAACAGGATAGAAAACATCAAGTTTGCAGCTGGTACAAAACTGGGGCAATGATTGATAAACTCAGTGGTTATGCTGCCATTCAGAGGAACCTTGACAGGCTAAAAAGAACGGGCATGAGATTTGTTATCAAGTTTAATAAAAGCACAACACCTGAAGAGGAATAACCAGGACAGGCTGGGGTCCAAAAACAGGAGAACAGGTGGAGAACTAGGTGGAAAACAGGTAGGCAGGGAAGTCATGGGGGACAAGCTAATCCTGAGCCAGCATTGCCATCACATCTGGGCTACATCAAGGAGAATATTGTTAGCAGGTCCTGAAAGGCAATCCCTCCCCTCTGGACCAACCCACGTGTTGTCCCGCTTGGACAACACTTGTGCCCAATGCTGGGTTTCCCAGTACAAGAGACTTACAGATTGAGTGCAGATAAGGCTCATTACCCATGTTTATACAGGGAACCAGGGAGAGAGCTAAGGGAGAATAAACAAGATACAATGGGTGCAAAGTGAAATGGGAAGATACCCAATTTCAATTTCATATTTCAAAGAAATACAGAGAAATTCCATCTAGGCAGTATTTTTTTATTGTAAGGACAAATGCCAGGGCAGATCATGCAGAAAGACTGTGGAGTCTCCATCCTTTCTGGTACCTCAAAATCCAAATGGACACAGTCTGGAGTAGCCTGCTCTAGATGACCCTGCAATGGGGAAATGGGCAGGGACTGAAGATCTCCAAAGCCAACTCTTTCATGAATCTGTGAATTCATGCCATAGGAAATGAAGAAAGAGAAGCAAACAGCAAATATGAAGTGAAAGCATAAAGGTTTTAAGCAGGAAGTAAAACTACTAGAATTCTTAAAAAAATAAATAAATAAAGGAATAAATATTCTAAGTTTTTCCCTTTCCAAAAAAGCCCTTCCACATCTCACATCTCTGTGCTCCTCATTTTGCATCTTTACCTCCATTTCCCATCAAGAAGAAAGAGCACTGGAAGTAGATCCTCAATTTCTCTTTTTTTTCTTTTCCTAAAAAGAATATTCCTTAAGCACTCTTTTTAGATTATTTAACTGAAACCTCCAGAACATACGTCTAGGAAAAGTTACCAAACCTCTTCCAGCTGCAACACACACTCTGAGAGCAGCGCAGAGAAAGTTATTTCACTGAAGCAGCTGGCTTGAGCCATATGTGATATGATACACTGGGAGTCTTAACATCTTTCTATGTCAAAGTAATAAAATCAAATGGCTTTGGCTTTTTTATTTTTCAGTTGCCAACTTAATGTTTTCTGTCACCAATATATCTGATCTTGATATGAGGCATATTTAAATATTATCATTGTCACCTTTGATTCATCACTTTATTAGTCAAGA